TGGAAATTGAACAACACACTTCTGAATAACCAATGGGTCACAGAGGAAATTAAAGAAGAAATCAGACAGTTCGTACAGTTAAATCACAATGCCAGTACAATATATCGGACTCTATGGGACAAAATGAAACTAGTCTTACAAGGGAAATTCATAGCAGTGAATACTCATGTTACAAAAGCAGAGTGAGCCCAATTAAACATGATGCTGATCCTCAGGCTTCTAGAAAAAGAAGAGCAGGACAAACCCAAAGCTCATACAGGGGAGAAAATCATAAAGATTAGGGCAGAAATCAATGCAGTGGAGACTAAGAACAGTATAAAAAATCAATGAAGCTAAGAGTTGGTTCTTCAAAAGAATAAACAAAATTGACAAAGCCTTAGCCAACCTTATCAGAAAAAGGAAAGAAGAGGCCCAAATCCATGCAATTAGGAATGAAAGAGGTGAAATGACAACAGACCCATCAGAAATCCGGAGGATCATCAGTACGTCTTGGAGAACTTATACTCCAGTAAGATGGACAACACAGAAGAAATGGACAGATTCCTAGATACATATGAATTACCAGAGTTGAACGAGGAAGACCTAAAAATTCTAAACAATCCAATATCAAACAATGAAATTGAAAATGTAATTAAAAACTTACCAACTAAGAAAAGCCCAGGTCCTGATGGCTACATGAGAGGTCCTCAGAAGACATCACAAGTTTCCACATCCCCGATTGTCCAGAACCGAATTACTGGGGCGCCAATCAAGATCTCCAGAATAGAGCACACATGTTGATATTTACTCTGTGTGATACAGGGGATTTTTTATGCTCCCAGGTTTGGTAAGCATGGATTAAGGTATCATAATTTACTCTCTCCCCCATTTTCCATATTGTCTTGGAAATCAAACCAGTCTCCTGTAACATTGTCCGCCTTACATTTGCTTACCTTTCCCTTCTCAATTCCCATCCTAAACAGAAGCCTTCTGTGCATCAAACATGTCTTTTATCCAGTGTCCATGCCCACATATGGTTATTCTTCTCTGGACACTCTTTCTTGAATAATGTCACCCAAAATTGAGCATGATCACCTGTAGTCTGAGAGTGATTCAGAGTGGGAATTGCTGCCCTGGTTCTGAACATCATACTGACCTTAGCCTATTAGGAGGAACTTTATTAACTAATTTTCTGGGGTACAGATACTTTTCCAGAAACATAATAGAGGCCCAGGGATTTAGCTCAGTTGTTCTGGTGCCTGCCTTGAAAACATAAGGTCCCGAGTTCGATCCCTGGTACCAAAAAGTAAAAGAAAAACAGAAACATAGGGCCAAAAGTGCCCTGTTAACTAAACAATTATAAAAGATGGTTCCCCAGACTTTTCAGTTACACTTGCCTACAGTCTGGGGCCTGAGCTGAAGGTAGCCTCCATATTTTGAAACTGCCAGAGAGCAATAGCTCCTCTGTTACTGTACTTGTAGGACTGAATTTTCAACCTAAGATTACACCTGTCCATGTGAAATTTTATTTCACTAGGTCACGCTGTCCAGCTAAGCTAACCACCTGTCCAGCTGATATCGTGTGCAGTTCCATCATGAGATGTGTCTGCTATACCTTCCAGCTATACTGTCCTCATCAAAGGACTCTTTTCTTTGGAACAAGACAAGGCAGGCTTTTAAAACAGTTTAAACACGGTTTTATATTGTTGTTCTGTGAGATTACAGTACACTGGTTCCTCAGTTCACAAAATCAATTCTTTCTGTAATTCTGTTCACAAACCAAACTGAACAAGAACCGAATCAAATTTCCCCATAAGGTCAACATTGAACCTAACCATTGAATTTGATTCTGTTGTCATCCAACTCAGTTTGTGACCAGAATCGTGAAAAGAATCAAGCTCATGAACCAAGGTACCACTTGTATCTAGTAATCATACCAGAAACAGGAAACTAGATTCCTTTAGAATGACTCATTCTGACCTCGTAGGAAAAATTACATTTCACAAACTCTGATACTAACAAGAGAATAAATAAGGCCAAGTATAGTGCATATGATGTGGTGGGGATTGAGATATGCTATTAGAGAACATATGTAATGCTATCCAAAGACATTAAAATTCAAAAATTTTAAAACATTGATTACACCCCCCCAAAAATTTGTAGACTATTCATTCAGGCCAAGGTTTCCCAGTTTGATGGCTCTGGAAAGATAAGGTATTCTCCTTGGCTTGTCCATACTCATTTGAACTATGTGAACAATTTTCCGTTTAAAAAGCCCATGTCATACTCTTTTACTCCACGAATTCTCCAATCACTTAGGAAATCCATTATTCTAAAATTAGACCACTTAATTAAATGTAAAATACCATGCTTAATGTGTATAAATCAAGAGTAAATATTATTAGCCACAGTCACATTTAAGAAAATCAGCAGTTAATAGTCATTTATTGCCTTTATTATACACAAACCTATATACCAATAAGATTAGTATAGTGTAAAATTAAGTCTTTGTCTTCTGAAAGCCTGTGGTTTCCAGTGAAGCATGCAAGGAATGCAGATAATGGTAATGTGCCCATTTTCTTATACTTTTGTTCACAGCAGTGATTCTTCATTCTGATGTCTCATTAGAATCCTTGGGGAGCTAAAACAAACAAACAGCAATGTTGTAGCCACAGCCCAGACCAATTGAATCAGGATCTTTGTAGGTGTGGGGCAAGTATATAAATTGATATGTTCACAAAGGAGCCAGAATTCACATTATCTCACTGCCATGCCTCAGCTCTGCTTTGAATTTGATGGCCCCACAGTGGTAAATGCATGACTGTCCCACCCAGTGGCTTGTACCACTGGTGCTACAAACAGATCTGATCAATTTTTAAAATTATAATCAAATTTATTTAATGAGGTAAAAAGAATTATCTATATTCTGTATTTGACACTAATGAGAAAAAATTTTACAAAGTTGAAATATGCTTAAAATTGAAAAATGAATAAGTTATACTATACAAATATATATTAAAAAATTATATATTACTTACAAATAAAAATCCCAAACACAAATGAGAACCATCAAGAACAATGGAGTAATAAAAAGTAAAACTGACCACTGAGCTTAATAATAATCTAGCCACAAAACAACTGTTTTTGTTTTAGTATCTTATATTAAGGAAAACATTAAAATGACATAAAAAATTGTAATATAGCTAATTTGTGGAGCAGTAATTATAAATACACATTATATACACCAGCAATGGGTTCTTATAAGAATCCATGTTAAAATTTAGAAAATTATTGATAAACGGTTAACCTATGGAGAAATACCACAGGCACAAATTACTTGAAAAAACATTCACTTTATAGAAACTTATTTAGAATCTGCAAACGTACACAAGCAATGTAGAGATTGTTATCAAAAATTATGTGGCAAGTGGGTGTTGCTGTGGCTGCCAAAAATGCCAAACACAAATCAGCTGCCTTTTTGTATAAAATGTTTTAAATTCACAAATATAAATATCTTTTAATTTAGTGAAATAAATGTGTTGATTGTTATAAGTTTTAATTGGCCTGAATAATACTATTTATAGTTGGGCAGCAGTTATTCATATTCAAGCAACTAACTAGACTTGGTCCATTTATAGACATTTTATTAATTTTATTAGTAAAAAGTCCAATAGAAATGATTAGATCCATTTGTACCACCAGTGGTACAAGCCGCCAGCTGGGACAGTCACGTATGCAACTTGTTAAATTAGAGATAGAAGTCAGATATTGTTAAATTGTTAATTTTATACATTCTGTTGTTCAGTGCGTTACGTGCTTCATTCTCCAGTTCAGAGTCCTTTTCTAAGCATTATGTATGGCAGATAGATTTTCCCTTCAATCTAGAGATTCTAGATTTTTTCATTTACAAATATTAGATATGATAGATCCTAAATAGAAAACCTTTTTAATATTAGATGTCAACATCATCCTTTGCCACCTGTATATAAAAGAAATTTTTAGACCTCTAAAAAATATTTCAGTCTTAGCCCCCCAAAATTATTTTTTAAATAAGTACATCATTTCTGCAGTTAAGTATATTTAAACAATTCATAGCTAAGTATTTTACCTGTTTACTAGTGTGCTCTTCACTGGTAATGGTTGTAAATATTTAAATTTCCTAAATTATGTTTTGCAACATAAACAACAACAGCTCTTAGCTAAGCCTGGCGGTAGCACGGAGCATCTCCACAAATCTCATGAATAGTGTGGTAGGGTTAGCAAGAAGAATGCTCATTACTCAGTAATGAAAGAAACGATCATATGGCACAGTTGTCTCTTAAAAAATAAAGTACTTTTAATATTCATGCGGTACTAATTTTATTTTACCACAAGAGGTCCTTAGACCCTTTCGGTGGATGCAGGTGATTTCGTGTGCTTATGAGGCTGTTGCAACACTTTGCTACTATCTCCATGATGTTATTATATTAACCAGATTTTTAACATAGGAGAGCTAAAGTTTTATTCTTTTGAACTTGCTTTTTAAAATTTGACTTTTAATCCCATCAGGACACAGAAAATACCAGCATCAACAAATCCAAGAGTCATGGGAAAGCCAGGAAAATGAGCCACGTGAAATGGCAGTGAAATAGAAATCCCAGAGTGGTTATGTGGAAACACAGGTGCCTTCTGAGTTCAGAACAAACAAAACCACTCCTTTTCCCATGGTCTCAGCTCCCTGTCTTGTCCAGTCAGTGTCAGTCTGTTGGTATATATTTAAATGTGATTGTTTTCTGATGGGAGTAAGGAAGTGGGAAAGCGCTTTGGGTAGAATGACTTTGCTGTTACATGAGTAACAGTAGTCACCATTTGGCCATGTATTCCAGATCATTTCATTACTCTGAATCTCTGTAAACGTTCCTGTGTGTGCTCCTGCAGTACTTTAGGCATTCATCCATTAAATATCTGCTTCACACCAAGCGGAAGGATATATTCCTTGTCTTTCGGTTTACAGTCTCTTGGGGAAATGATTTAATAGAAAAATTATAATTCGTTGTAGTATACTTATCGTACCTCTTCCTTTGTTTAATACCTTGATTTATTTCAGTAAAAAACAGTTACACTTACTGTGTAATTATGTCTCTTAATTCCTTAATGGTTTGAAGTTACGAGGGGACAAAAGTATTTTTCCCAGTGACAGCCAATGATGTTTTGTAGTAAGAGAAACTCCTAGATAGTCTACGTTGGCATCTGTTTGTAGAAGGCTTGAGTTTTTAATTTGTCCATTTCAGTGGCTTTTGTTTTTTTTTTTTTTTTTTTGGTACCGGGGATCGAACTCGGGTCCTTGCAGCGAAACCACTGAGCTAAATTCCCGGCCCTTCAGTGGCTTGTGAACAAAATGGACAACCCGATATTACTTCAGGGTATTTTTCTCTTATTATTATTTTTGCTCCCTTGGATTAGGCTTCTTAAGAAATATCAACCAAATGAATCTAGGTAAGAAATTTAAATTTTAAATGTATATGCTTTTTTCAGATTATTTTCTTTATAAGTACATGTCTGTAGTACATTTTTACACTCCATGTGTGGAGTTGGTACGTGCACATAATTCATTTTAATTCCTTTTTTATCCCCTTTCTCTTTCCTCCCGCCTCCTTCCAAGCAGCTCTTGATCCCCTTCCTTTTTTTTTTTTTGTACTGAATATGCTTTGTTCCTGTTGATTTTTAGTAGCAATTTTGTATTTAGACCACTAGATGGCACTAAGCACATATAACTAGGAAACAACTTTCTTAGTTTTCTGAATACAAATTTCAGCATTACGCACTATAAATTTTGTTATCCAACCTGTAACCTTTCTTTTGCTACAGAAGCCCTGTTTTTCTGTAATAGTCCCACATGTAACTCTGTTAGATACAATTAAGACAGACATAACCTTGCCTCTTCAAACTGTTCTGCTCTCAGCCGTCTCATTATCTTCCTCTTAAATTGGCCTTTCCTTACTACTACTCATCTTCTCTGAAAGACAGAAAAGATATTTTTAATTTTTGTAAGGACCATTACATAGCTTTTAGGATATTAAAAAACCCTAGAAAGTTACTCACAAATGTCTCTGTAGAACAAAACACAAGAGAACCCAAACTTTGTTTTGCTCTTTGTTTCTTGAAGTCTAAATATTATTCTCATGTTCTTTCTTTTGTTGTTTTTGTTCTGTTTATGCTAGTCTCGTAATATATTATTTCTGAATCAAGCTGCTTTAGGCTACAAATAATAGGTTCTTAATGTTAAAAGCTATTATTAAATTATTTTACATGAGCAGAAGTCATTAGAGTTGAGTGGTAGGTACTGTACTTCCAGTGATGATTAATTCACTGGTTTAATCAGAGAACTGGGGTGTTACCAGACCCAGTGCCTTTCGTGTTTCTACACTGACATCCCCAGTGTGTTGGACATGTGCTCTGTGTTGTAGACAGCTGCTGCAGTTCTAGGTAGAACTTGTAATCACAGCCAGATGCAGTAGTGGAAGAGGAACATCTCCCCGCATCAGTGTCTACACGACTCCTTGTATCCATGGCTACAGTGAGAGCACAGCCTCCCTCAGCACTCGTCGTTGAGGCCTGGGTACCCTGTATCTTCCTCACAGCTCACTGGCAGGTGGGGAAAGTTATCATCGTGGGTGCAGAAGGACAGAAGCCTAGGTCCTCCCCAGGCACACAAGGCACCTGGGGGAGGATGAACCTCAACAAATCAGCACTCTCCCAAGTACAAGAGGAAGCAACTTGGCAGGCAGGCAGCAGTAGTTGCCATCATTTCTGGTTTTGTTTATTTTTCTTTCACTTAGAGACTCTGCTGTCCTGATATTATTGAAATATAACTTCATTTCTGTTAGTTCCAGTACATCGAACTGGACAGAGCAAGTGTTGCTCGCGTCTAGTTATTGCAGAGTCTGCCATTGAGTTCAGGCTCTTTAACCTGTTGTTTTGCCTTCGAGTGTGTTCTTTCCCTAGCAATTAAAAACAGACATTGGATTCCCTTTCTCTGCTCATTAGTGCACTCTAGCATTGCAACTATTAGTGCAGTTAGAGAACAGTGGTTTTGAAATGCTGTTTGAATCTAGTAGCATTTCAACCCAGGCTGCAGTGGTCTGCCACAGTACCTGACTTTCCCTTTGCCCAGACTTCTGGAGATTTGGCCACCATCTGTCTACCCCAGAGCTCAGCCTAAGCCTGATTAAAGTCTTTTAACATTCACTGTCCACTGTGGTGCCTTCTAGCCTTCTCTGGCTTGTTTCTCCCTGGTTTTTCATTTTTGTCTTAGTCTCTCTCCAGGGCTGCAGCCTGGCTTTTCTGGGGCGTGTGTCTGTGCCTCTGAGGAAGCCAGCTTCCTGGTGCACTGTCTGCATATCTGGTTCTTACCTGTGTTCAGCAATTATTTGTTGAATGGTTCGGTGAATATTAATTGATGGGCATTTCAAATACAGTTAGGTTTAAAATGTTGATGGTACTGTGTTTACGATCTGTTTTAATAGTTCTCATTACCTGTCCAGTCAATATTATCAACTAACAATATCAACCATCATTTTTAATCAAAAAATAAGTACTTTTTAGAAACCACTTAGCATTGGTATCATTGCTATTGTTTGAACCTAAACTTTATAATCTAAGGCTTTCAAAGAGATTACTTTGTTTGAGAATACATTGAGTCAAAAAAATTTTTTTAAAGAAACCTCCACCATACTTTTGTTTTTCAGAAAACTGTGGACTGTATTTTCCAGAAATAAAAAGAGATCCAGGCAAATATTTACACAGTTGTCCCGAATCTGTGAGAAACTGGCTTCAACAGCTAAAGAGTGCCGGGAAGATTCTTTTGTTAATTACGAGTTCTCACAGTGATTACTGCAAACTGCTCTGTGAGTACACGCTCGGGTAAGTGGTGCGCAGGCCCATTCTCCTTGTCTTATAAAATATGATAGTGATTAGATAGCAGTGCTTCCTTAAAAGTCTGTGCCTATAGCTCAGAGATGGCTGAGCTTCTAGAAAGTGTCCTTAGGTCATCCGTGAATTGTGTTTCTGGGTTTGGGGTGGTTATTGTGAGATGCTGAGCTGTGGACACTTCCTGGCTGATTCCTGAATTAGCACACCTTTTATCCATTTCAGGGTGGAGCCCTGTTCTTCAGGGTCTGCACTACTAGTGTGGAAGTGACATCTGTGAAAAGCAGGGCAGTAGAAATGTAGGGGACCATAAAGTATAAAAGATTTGAGTTCAAGCCCTGCTCTGCAAATTACTGTGTAACCTGGGGCAAGATTTAAAACCACTTTAAGATTCAAACTTGCGGATTGCCTGTTGCCAGAGAAGGTCTCACTCCCACTGCTAGCACAATGAAGGCTTTGCTCAGGATAGAAGGACAGTTGCTGTTACTCCTTTCTTTAATGTGTGTTTGCTCTGGGCGAGAACCAGTGTTGGTGGGATGCAGCCATTCAATTTCCATGCTGTTGCTAAAAGAGGACTGTTTCATTTGGATGAATTGATAGTCCCTAATGAATTGTTCTGGGGACTGGTTGTCAGGCTGTTCATGTCCAACCTGATGAAATTGAGTTGGATTATCCTGTCAGCCTCTATGGAATTGAACAGCTGGAATACTAAGATGGAACTGCCTTCCATTCCTTGCCCACTTATAAACCGAGGCATGGATTAACTACTGCTGAGCTTCCACTAAAGTGTGTAGTTCCCAGCTCCTGTGTCTCATCTGATTACCCTCAGATGCACTCCTTCCTCACCTAAAAACCTGCTGCTCAATACTGGTTCATGGGATGATTCATACTCTGCATGGAATGTGGCCAGAGGCACATCCGGGATAGCTGGTCAGTGCCTTATTCTGGGCCACAGGCTTCAGTCCCTTGGATCTTAGAAGTCCCTGCCCTTGGACCCCAAGCAGCAACAAAAAGTAATCTAGTTTAATGATATGGTGTGCTCTTTTATTTTTATATATGTGTATGTTTTTAACACATTTTCATCTATTATAACCCCCTTTATGATGCCTTTAAGAGGCTACTGGTGTTTTTAAATAAACATTGCCATATTTTAAAAAAAGATTTAGGGCTGGGGATTTAGCTCAGTGGTTCGGACGCCTGCCTTGCAAGTGCAGGGTCCCAAGTTCGATCCCTGGTACAAAAAAAAAAATTTAAACTTGTCACCCTGTAAATAAGACAGTAACCCCTCATGGGAGTAAGGGAATGTTTAAGTAGTACAGGTTAAATATTAGCCAGAGCAGTTGCGCGGTTCAGTGATTGTTAACACTATCTTGGAGGGGATACTGTGGTCAGAGGGGATCCCAGGTGTGCCTTTGGATTCCCTGAAGATCGCAGATTCCATCAAACTTAGCATTACCATGAGAATGAAGCAGAATTAGCCTCCTAGCTGATCTCTGCCAACATTTTTAGCCTTTGGATTTCTTAACATATGTGAGTTTAGTTTGTTCTGTGGATTTTTTTTTTCTGCAGAACACATAGGCTGGAGTTCCTTGAAATGAATCAAGGCTGAGTTCCTGGATGTCTTGCCTTTCAGAGGCACTTGCTGCCTTGGTGACAGTGATGGGGAACCTTTTAGAGACGAGTGCTTAAACTGCACTTATTTATCAGTCCCAACACTGCAGTTAAACCTGAGTACTGAGGTTTTAGTTTTGAAAAACAACTCATACACTAACATCTTCTGACTTAAAAGAAAAATAACGAGTGTGCCATAGTTTGCCACCACTGTTACAGGATCATGCTTCAGATTAAGGATCAGGAGTTCTCATCCCTTTCTCATTAGCAGAGTTGACCAGAGTCTTTTTCCCACCTGAATTCATTGGCTTTTTGAAAAATTCATTGAATTTTTGATTTTTAAAAATACTCTGGGTAAATATTATTTTTCCAGGGTGATGGTTGAGTCCCTCAGGGAGAAGGATCACCCTCCCTTTGTTCCAGATTAATGCCAAATACAGATGAAATATCACTAGGGTTTTGTTTTTTGGTTTTGTTTTTTATTGGTACCGAGGATCGAACTTGGGTCCTTGCGTTTGTGCAGCAGGCGGCGAAACCACTGAGCTAAATCCCCAGCCCTCTAGGGTTTTTGTTTTTGTTTTTTCTGGAGAAAGGGTCTCCCTATATAGTTCAGGCTGGCCTTGAACTCATTATCATAAGTAACCCAGGCTATCCTTGAACTTGCACCAATCCTCCTGCTTCGGCCTCCCAAGTGCTGGGATTTCAGATGTGCATCACCATGCCCGGCAAAAAATCATTAGTTGTTGTCATCTGAAAATTACTACATTGTAAGACTAGACTGATTTTCAAAATAAAGTGTCTTCTTCACGTTTGAGCACTCTACATGTCACCAGACTCGGAGTGCTACCTTCTGTGGAACCGTATCACACACAAAATCATTACTGATTCTTCAAGCTAAGAAGTCCTAGCAAATTTCAGTCCTCAGATTTGAAAACATAGCTCCCGAGTATTTCTAGCTGTTAGAAACTTTGAACTCACCATTGCCTTCTCATCCAGAGAAAGGTAGCTCTGGAGGTAGAGCCGCCATGCTGCTTTTACCTTGCCTGTTTTTCTTGCTTTTATTTCTCTTTTCCATTTTTGTTATGTTCACACTTCAGGGAATTGTCAGGAAGACTGGTGCTCAACCACCCTTGCTTCCTGGTGTAAAGCTCACTCTGACTGTGAGAAAACTGTGAAGCATCAGGGGATGAGTGAGGATGCTGTGTTAAAAGAGGCAAGGTACAGTCATATTTTCTTTGGACCTTTTCCAGTTCCTTAAAGTAATTTTATGAAAAATGTTGTTGCTTCTTAGGGATGATTTTGCAGACCTTTTTGATATTGTGATTACAAATGCACTGAAGCCTGGTTTCTTCTCCCATTCACCAAGTCAGAGGCCTTTCTACACACTCAGTAAGTTCTGTTTTGTTTTATTTCTTCTGTGAACCTGTTCACCAACAACTGTGCAGCGCACTGTGTTAGATGCACAACCATCTCTTCTTTCCTTTATCGGAGAGAAAAAAAGATATTAAGTCTGTTTGTGTTAAACTTTATAATTCTATTTCATAATTATTTGTTTATATATCAGTCTCTCCCTAATTTTAAAAATCAAAAGACACAGACTTTACCTTAAATTTTAGAGCCTAAATAAATGCCTCAATAAATACTCAAGGGAATGAATTAATTCTAATAAGTCAGCATGGGTTATTTTCTAGAACAAAAGTGCCTGCAGAATCCATGGAGACCATAATTAAATAATAACAACAATTAAAAGAAAAAAAAAATGTTCTCTCTTGGCAACCAGGCAAGACCCTCAAAGAAGGGTAGTTAGAATTTTCACGTGTGTAAAGAGGCTGAAGGAGAAGGAGAGTGAATGAGAAGAGCAAGCACACTTTGCAGATGAAGTAGTCTAATAATAGCAGAGTAAAATACTCATGACAGGTGCTGTCTGGAATCTTCTGGAATAAATATGTAAATGCATAGAAAGGGGAGCCCTGTTGGGAACAGGGAGTTACAGGTTTGTGGAATGAAAGGCAGTTAACTTTAGTTTACCTATCATCTTTTATTTCTGTTTAAGTTAATGTCAAATAAGCTTGGTGGCAAGTAAACATTTGAGGATTATTTAGAAATTTGTGAGGAGAGGAACATCTGAAATAAGCCCAGGAATTATTGGAAGTTGAAATACATTTAATGGTCATAAATACATGTATTTAAGATCATTAACAAAATTCATAGACCTATGTAGAGATTTCGCTTTGTTTGAAATACAATGATATAGGCCCAGGATGTAGCTCAGAGGTACCATGCCTGCCTAGCCAAGCGCAAAGTACAGAGTTCAATTCCCAGTACCCAGAAAAAAAAAAAGAAATACAATGATATAAAAGTGGATATATATTAAAAATACATATAAAAGATACATACTACTTGTAAGCATTCACTGGAGTAAATGGTTTGTAATTTCTTTTACTTTTGACTCAGATGCTTGGCATTATAGCAGCAGCTTCAGCTGGGTGGAATGACAGAAAACATGCACCTCTCCTTACTTTTCCATGGCTAATACCACACTGTTTGGGACTAAAATTTTAAATTCCTCAAAGAAGTATTCATGTCAGTCACAAACACCCAGTGCTTTCATTTTACATGATAATACAGTAGAATTTGCTTTGACCTTCTACTTCTCCGCTGTTTGGAAGCCTGATTCAGTGCTAGGTGGTTGACTGCTCAGTACCCAACTCAGTCATGAGCAGTGAAATCCAAGTTAGGTCCAGGGTGGCAAGTCAGCCACTGAGAGGTCCTCCCTGACACAGACAGATGCAGACACGTGGGTGTGTCAGCAAGTGCAAGGGGCAACTGCAGACTGTGGTTTGTGCTGTGAAGGCAGGTTCCCCGGGGTGTGGTGGTTTGAAGGAGGCAGGCATCCCAGAGTGGCTGGCGGGGGAGGCCTGTCTGCACCGTCAGGGCAGGTAAGTTGTGAGGTAGACCCCAAGGGGCAAGTAATGAGAACAAAAGAAAAGTGTCTGTCTGGAGACTGAAGAATGCAGAGGCCCTCTTGGGAAAAGGGGCTTGTGTTCCAGTGACAGAGAGGAGGTGTGTCATTCTGGCACCTGGTCAGGCAGAGCGAAGTAGTGAGGTTAAGCAGGCAGACAGCCTCATAGGCTGTGGAAAGAAGTTTGAATTTTGTGCTATAAGCAATCTTGTACCCATTCGGTTATTAAGGGTAATGCAAAGACTGCTTTGACTGCCAGATGTAGAATTAGTTGGGTTCAACAAAAAATGGAGAGAAACAGGAAGACCAGTCAGTTACCGTGTCCCAGGTGAGAGGCTACCCTGATTTGGTCTGAGGCCACAGTTCTGGAGTCGAAGAGAAGTAGATGTGTTTCAGATACGCCATGGAGGTGGAAAACAGTGGGCTTCTTGTACTTTAGAAACAGATGAAAACGAAGTAATCAAAACTGACTGCCACATTGCTGCTTTTCCTTTTTTCAAAAATGAGCAAGGGGTCCATCTATAGTCATGGGGAAGAATGCAAAGGAACAGGTTGTATGGCATGGGGCAGTAATTAGTAAGAACTCATTTTTCAGTGTACTACTTTTGAGATTCCTATGAATTATGTAACTGATGCTATCAATTAGATGATTGTATAAATAAGCCTGGGGTCCAAGGGAAGAGGTCTAGGGTCAGGAGAAGAATTTTCGAATCATCAGCTCACAGATGGATATTTAAGTGAAGGGCTTGAGATCAGACAGAGAAGGATCATTGAGGGGAAAAGGCCCAGAGCAAGTCTTGGGCCATGCTAACTAACATCGTAGCACTGATGATAGAGAAGATAAAACACAGCACAGAAGCAGGCACGTCAGTCAGGGAAGCAGGAGAGGAAAGGGGTCAAATAGAACAACAGCTGGGTTAAGCCTTAGAAATGAAGAACAAGAAATGGCCCCTGTGATGGGGAGCATGGAGATCCCCTGGCCTGTCTGTGAACAGTTCCCAGCGCTGAGGGATGAAGCTTAGAGTTCATGGGGGGTCACGGAGCCTGGGAAGGTGGATAACTATCTAGAATTTTAGCTGTGAAAGCAGAGTTGAAGTTTTAGCTGGAAGACAATGTAGGATCCAGGACACATTTCATTAAGATTGAAGATACTAGAATCTACCTTTATGCTGATGAGAGTGGTCTAGTTCACTGGTTTTCAGTGACGGCAGTTTTGCCCCCCCCAGTGCAAATTGGGCAGTGTCTGGAGAAATTTTTCTTGCCAGCGCAGAAGCAGGATGCTGCTCACATCTGGTGAGTGGAGAATGAGGGTGCTGTCCTCTGTGTTACCATCCAGTAACACAGAGGACAGCGCCCCCAGGGACAGTTCTGGCCCCAAATCTCAGTAGTGACAGTGCTAAAACTCCTGGTCAAGAAAAAAGGAAAGTACTAATTTTTAAAATATATATATTGGCTTATATTTTATTCTGAAATCCTTCATATTTAGAAATAATTTGTTGGGCCAGGGATTTAGCTCAGCGGTGCCGCACCTGCCTCGCAAGAGCAAGGTCCTGAGTTTGATCCCCTGTACAGGAGCAAAAAATAATAATAATAATTTGTTACCTGGGAACAATATTCTTTTAATTAAACCAGAAAAAAACTTAAGCTTTTTCCCCTTTACAGACTTATATTTAAATATATAAGTACTCAGTAAATGAAATTTTTTATTTTTTGCAGTGTTTTCATGTTTTGTTCCCCAAAAATCTATATCTGCAGTAGTATTGATATAGGGGGAAGAGCCATAACTCCCAAACCTACTAGATAACTGAAACATAAGTTTGTGTTTTCTAAAATCGAAGAATGAATTCTAGGAACAATGGAGGTTGAGAGTAGGAAAAATTTATTGGAAGAAAGAAAGCTTTTGCGTAAGAGAGATAGAAGGGGGACAGGAAAGTGGGTTGCCCGCCCACCCCACTTTTCAAAGATTTTTATACAGCAAAGCCATGTGGTGAGGCAGGTAAAAAGTGAGACAAAACTATAATGTGGGACTGCATAACTCTGTAATCATAAAACTCCCCTAGCCCCAACTGTGATTGAATGTGAGTAAATAGATAAAGATGCTTGTTAGTTCCAGGATACTAGATAAGATCTGTATCAGCCATAAGGTCCCAAAGTAAATTACTCAACTTTTTGTTCGAAACTGAGGTTCCGGACACCGCTGTCTATAGAACAATCTACAAACATCTGCTGACCATCAGTATGTGTCAGCTGACCACTAACCTTTGTTCCTCTTCTGTAAATTTCACCTGTTAACTTCCCCTGCAACCCCCTATAAAAAGAGCCTCGGACTCTGGGCTAGTCGCCTCTTTAAGCTAGTTTGCTTTGGGAGTGCCCTCTGGCCAGACTAAGGTCTGTTTTACTTTCCAACTTGTCTGGTGTGTTCCTTCCCAGGTGTTCTTCCCTGCAGTCAGCTCCTCGGAGCGTTTGGTAAGGCCCTCGGTCTTACAATAAGACCCAGTGGAAATTTCCAAGGTGGGCATGAGGTGAGACAAAACCATGACCAACCGATAAGATTACAAGTACAGTCACCCAGGTAATATTGATTAAATGGGGGAGCAAGTCACATAGCAGGCATACAAGGATTTTTAGTAAGGGTGGGGGTCAGGGATATTTCCTGGAGAGGCTGGGTTAAGACCTTGACCCCCACCCAGGTGATTGATACCTATTTAGAATATCAATCTCTGCTATTTATCCCCAGGGGTAGCACAAGGGTGTGTAGTTTCTCTTTTACAATTCTGACCTTCAGTGAATGTGTTTTAATTGTCCTCCAGTTGGCTCCTAGCTGTGTTGGCTCCTGGAGAGCTGGTCCTGTCTTACGTCACACAAGATATCTAAGTAACTTACCTGTCTGAAATAATATGTATAATATTTCATAGAGTTTCTTTAATTAAAATATCACACCAGCAATGGACAGGAATACACATTAAAAATACACCAAATTTTTAATATTGGAGCTCAAATGCATTAACTTATGCTGACAAGTTACTGAATTTTATGTAGTGTTTCTGTTTAATTATGTAAGACCTCTGTCCTTACCAAACGCTCCGAGGAGCTGACTGTAGTGAAGCACACCCAGGTATCCCAGCGGTGCCTCCAGAATGTAAGACCAAGGGCCTTACCAAACGCTCCGAGGAGCTGACTGCAGCGAAGAACACCCGGGAAGGAACACACTAGACAAATTGGAAAGTAAAACAGACCTTAGTCTGGCCAGAGGGCACTCCCAAAGCAAAGTAGCTTAGAGAGGCAATCAGCCCAGAGTCTGAGGCTCTTTTTATAGGGGGTTGCAGGGAAGTTAACAGGTGAAATTTACAGAAGAGGGAACAAAGGTTAGTGGTCTTACATTTTGTATGTTAATTAGCCTGACAGGTACTGATGGTCAGCAGATGTTTTGTAGATTGTTCTATAGATAGTGGTGTCGAGAACATCAGTTTTTGAACAAAGAGTTGAATAATTATGGCTGATACAGATCTTATCTAGTGTCCTGGAACTAACAAGCATCTTTATCTATTTACTCACATTCAATCACAGTTGGGGCTAGGGGAGTTTTATAATTACAGAGTTATGCAGTCCCACACAACCACTGGTAAAAATACTGAAAAATAATTGCATCTGCATTGAACATATACAGACCTTTTTGTTGTCGTTCCTAAACAATACAGTGTGACAACTATTTACATAGCATTTTTATTTTATTAGATATCATAAGCCAGAGATGACTCAAAATATATATGGAAGGATATTCATAGATCATATGCAAATGTTATCCCTCAGATGGATACTAAGAGATGGCTGTACATAACACATTTTCTTTAATCCACTGAGAGACATTTGGTTTGCTTGCGTATCTTGACTATTATAAGTAATGCTGTAATGAGCATGGAAATGCAGATATACCTTCAATATACTGATTTCCTATCCTTTGGATTGCTGAATTATTTGCTAGGTCTACTCCATTCATTCGTTCATTCATTCAGTGGTGTGGTAGGGACCGAACTCAGGGATTCACACATGCAAAGCATGTGTTCTACCACTAAGCCATGCCCTCAGCCCTGTTTTAATTTTTGGAGATTCCTCTGCATTGTTTTCCATAATGCCTGTACCAGCTGTGTGCAAGGTTTTCCTTTTGTCTACATCCTCAACCATATGTGTTGTCTTTCATCATTTTTGTAAAAGCCATTATAACAGGAATGAGGCGTTAATCCATTATGGTTTTAATTTGTATTAACACTCAGTGATTAGTGATGTTGAACATTTTTTGTTCATATACCTGTTGATCATTTGTATATCTTCCTTAGAGAAATATCTAGGACAGTGCCAGTAATATTAACTTGCTGAATGAAAGCAGCAGAATATGTTTAAAGGCCCCACATCCAAACACATTTATTTTCCAATATCCTGGGGGCCAGGACTTACATGGATGAATTTGGGGGACATACAGTAGTTCAGCCAATACAAGGTGCATATATGTGCCTGAACTCACCAGACCGTATGCTGTAAATGTACACAGGCAGGTTTTGTGTGTCAGTTATGCCTCAGCAAATAGTTTTTAAAGTGGAGAAAAAGAATATATGTTCATATTTGCTTTTATGTGTATAAAAGAATGGTTGCCTTTTGTAGAACAGGTGAGTTTAACAATATTTGGTATTGTCATATTAGTATTTTAAAAATATGTTTTATTGTCATTTTTGAGTAATACATTCACATATTTTTAAGTTTCATTTTTGAACTCTGTTAAGTTGCAAGAACTTTTTCTAGAACTCACCTGTTCTACGTTCTGGAGTCCTTCTTTCCCATTGCCTACTTGTTTTGATGTAAACGGATCTCTATTAATAGCACTGAGTTTTGGCATTGTATAAAGGTGTCACAGGAGTTGGCTGAGGCTCTGCTCAGGGTAAGAACTGTCAGTTTATGGTGTCCTCAGGGATACCCAATGAAGTTTTCTTTTGTGCTGCAATTGTTCTTGTCCCCAGTGATACCTTGTGCTACATTTGGATCCTAGAGTTCAAAATCAGAGTCTGCTGACCCTGGTTTGAAGTGCTTCCAGGAATTGCCTGGCTCTGGCAGCAACAATTAGGTACTGGACAGAGGACCACAAGCCAGAGAGTGCAAGAGATTTGTGTTTGGGGTGCCTGATGAAGGATATCCTATTCATCAGAAAGGAAGTGTTTTCATATGTAAATAAGCAATAACTGAAATTATACCACAGATTAGCCTAAAGACACATTTTCTTTTGACTCCTTAATTTGTCCAGATATCAGTTTCTTTACCTATAAACTGAAAGGACAGCAGCTAATACTTTTTTTTTGGTATTGGGGATTGAACTCAGGACCTTGCACTTGCGAGGAAGGCGGCGGAACCACTGAGCTCTAAATCCCCAGCTCTGCACCTAATACTTTTTAAACACTAATGTGATTGACACATATACTTCATCTGTATTAATTTATTGTGCAGAATCACTCTATGATGTAAGTATTGTAATTATCCCAGTTTTAAAACTTAGACTATGACTATGATTTGTTTCCTATCATCTATATCCACCTTAATTTTTTCTTTTGTATTTATTATCTTGTGAGACCTGAGTAACTCCATTTTAAAATTTGGCCCCATCTTAGAGTAAGGTGGCCTGGACATAAATTCTAGTTCCAAGAAAAACCACAAGATGTACTTTGGCCACCTGCCTGTGATAATGTTCAGCAGTCCCCTAGCAACTAGCCTAGCAACAGCTAATCAGTAGCTGCCTCAATGTCCCAGATGCTTTTCTCAATGGCCTGCAACAGCTAATCAGTAGTTACCCCAATACCCCAGTATCCCAGATGTTCTTTTTGATGACTTGAGCAGCCGTTTGCAGTTCAGCGCGCAAGGCCCAACCAATTAGGTTTAAACTTTCAAAATTTGCTAAATGCTAGCCAATCATGTGATTTGCGTGTGATTTGAAACCCCGCACCTTTTTGAAACCCCACACCTTGCTGTAACCTCTATGAAAACCCCTGGTGTTTTAGAGTCGGGGCTCTCAATCTTGACCCGCTGTGCGGTGACAGTTGAGAGTCCCTGCTCGAGCTTGAATAAACGACCCTCGTGTGTTTGCATCGGAATCAGCTCCTTGGTGGTCTTTGGGGACCTCGCGATCTGGGCACAACAATCTAGTATTTTTAATTAAGCTTATTTAAATCAATGTCCTCATTGTACTGAGGCATGTTTTTAAATATTACATGAAAACAGAAATTCATGTGCCTCCTACAGACCATGAACAGAAATGTGACCCCTGTCTAAATAGTGTATAACTGCTTGGATTTGTGAACATAGAGCTGAGAGCAGACAGCTTGATGTGGCCCACAAACTCATGCTTTAAGATCAGACAGTCCCATTACTATTCTCCACCACCCAAGTTAAGGTAAAGCATTTGAGGTACCTTGGCTACCAAATTTAAGCATATGTCTAATCACTGAATAAATCACTTACCAGCTTCGAGATCTTGGGCAAGATAACTTTCATAAGCCTTATTTTCCCCAATTTAGAGGGTTTAAAAATGCACATCCACAAGGTGCTCGTGACAAGTGGTCACTAAATGGGTGGGCCTGCAGGCAGTCCCACCCTGAATGCAGACTTCCTGAGTGTCTCCCTTGATCAAGTGTTTGACTGTCAACTGTGTCTGCAGAGGACGATGAGGAGCAGGAGTCGCTACCGTCTCTGGATAAGCCTGGCTGGTACTCCCAGGGGAACTCTGCTCACCTTTATGAGCTTCTGAAGAAAATGACCAGCAAACCGAAGCCCAAGGTATTTTCTGATTGAGGCAGAGTCCTCCATGTCCACTTGCTGATGTAAACAGTGAAATACCTAAACCCTTAGCCGTAAATGAATTCAGCTTAGTCACCTATGGTGGAATCATATGCCTCTGCCTACTAAGTCTCTCCTTTTACCTCTTCTGATGAAATAAATCTTGCCTTTTTTGATGTACACTTGATCTTTATTTGTGACAGTGAGGAGCAAGGATTCCAAGCAGAGTGCAAGGGCTTCATGTTTGGGGTGCCTGAGGAATGAGATCTTGTTAATGCATCAGAAAAAAAAGAGTTTCTATATGTAAAACAAGCATTAAATGAAATTACACTACAGACTAGCCTAAAGACACATTTTCTTTTGACATCCTGATCACATTGTTATATTGCAGATAGTGTATTGTTTACAGCAGACTCTTTTTCTTCTAAAAAATATTTACCAGGAGCCACAGGAGCAAGACAGATCATTGAGTAATGAGTTCTGCTCTGCTGGCTCCCACATTGCCACAGCCCTCGAAGGGCTCCTGAGGCGGGTTTAGTGGACAGAGCATCTTGACTTGAAGGTTCTGGTTCTTGTCCCTTAACCTTGTTTTCTCCTTTATAAATCGGAAGGTCTAGACCAGTGGTAGCAAACCTTTTAAAGTTTTCAATGATAGAAACAGCCAACTGCGGCACACGTGCCATAGGTTTGCCACCACTGGGACTGTTTCCATGGGAATTAGCCTCAGAAAGCCTGGGATGCTTTTTAGATTTCACATGTCCAGCCACACTCTGATGGGTTCTGCTTCAGCACATCGCTTGTGGGGCCCAGAAACCCTCTTCAAAAGTGATTGTAGTGCATGCTTGGTAATCTGTAACCCACCTCAACAAGTTGACTTGTTAAACCTGTGGCATGTATCATTAAACCTAGGGACAGATTTGATTACAAACATTTCATGTAGACACATGGGGTCACTTCTTTAGGAACATTCTGTCTCTTCTACCTTTATTCCACCTGCAGCTGGGTTGTGTAACTTCTAATACAAATCAGGTGCCCTGGGAGTCAAGTCAGTGGCCACCTCTGAAATTATCCAAGGAAGTTTCAGATGTGTAAACTTAGACCATTTTTGATTGTCATACTTTGATGCTTGTTGAGGAATTTTCTTCTGCCTTCCATAAAATAACCACCACTCTCAAACAGAATTTGCTGCCTGACTTTTAGGTTGTTTACTTTGGTGACAGCATGCACTCAGACATTTTCCCAGCGAGTCATTATAGTCACTGGGAGACAGTTCTCATCCTAGAAGAACTCAGAGGGGAGGAAGGTGAAAAGCCTGAGGAGGCAGAGCCTCTGGAGAAGAAGGGAAAATATGAGGTAAGGGTTGTCTGTGCTTTTCTTGAAAGAAAAACCTTTGTTTGAAAGCTAAAATACCCTCATACTACTCGCCTTCAAAATTATCCTGCCCTGAATGAATGTCCTCATGTTTCGGTAGTTCATTTTTGAAGTAGTGTTTGTACTGATGAACTCCTCCTTAGCAGATATGTTAGGCCAACTTAGTTGTATTATCTGCTTTATTGAAAATCTATCATGCATCTTTGCTTGTATTTGAAGGCAAGTGAAGAATTGGGCTTTTTGTTCTTTTTTTCCTCTACAAACACCTTTTGACATGAACTTAGAACCACAGTGTACCAATTTAGATTGCGTCAGTGTGTTAGTGAGGTCTGTTCCTCAGCATGGCAGACTTCCGTGGAGAGGGCGAAAGCAACGCATCAGTTGGGTATTGGGCATTGCACTCAGGACAGTGTAAACCCCTGCTGCTTCCCTACAGAGAAGGCAGTTGCTTCACCCAGAGACAAGCAGGAGGAGTTCGTAAAGACAGCTAAAAAGAAAGCACACCATGAGAGCCTATAGTTTGTGATTGTTAAGAAAAAGACCAGGGGGCCGGGGATTTAGCTCAGTGGTTTCGCCACCTGCTGTGCAAGCACAAGGACCTGCGTTCAGTCCCCAGTACCAAAAAAAAAGAAAAAGACCAGGGTCTGGGATTAACTCAGTGGCAGCGCATCTGCCTCATAAGTGCAACATCCTGAGTTGGATCTCTGGTACCAAAAACAAAAGAAAAAGACCAAGTGGGGCTGGGGATTTAGCTCAGCAGCACAGTGCCTGCCTGTGAAGCGTGAGGTCCTGAGTTTGATCCCATGTACCAAAAAAAAAAAAGACCAAGCACAAAACACATAAAACATGTTATCTTTTGTCCAGCTTAAAGTCTGAATGCAAAAGAATGTAACTCCATATTTCTTTTTTTTTTGGTTTGTTTTTTTGGTTTTGTTTTTGTTCGACCTGGGGATCGAACTCGGGTCCTTGGGCTTGTGCAGCAGGCGGCGAAACCACTGAGCTAAATCCCTGGCCCTGTAACTCCATATTTCTAATTACTTCATTAAGCCTCTGTGAACTTTCGAAAATGTAATTAAAAATCACATTGACTGGATTGTTTCAAGATCGATGCTGTGAGGCAGAACATTTATAGGTACTGCATTCTGTGGGATCAACTTGTGTTTCACAGAGGTTTGAATTTTGAAAGTACTTTTCTGACCTCAGGGTGGCAAGTGACATCTCAGATTACATCCCAGAAAACAACAGTAATAAAAATTGATGTGTTTGGCTGCCTCGATATTAGATATTTTGTTCATGATACCTAGGACACGACTGTCCAATGGGAGAGGAGTTCTACAGTATCTGTCTAGATCAAACTTTATAAATTGATGTTTTTATTTGTCAAAAACAGGTAAATACCTGTACTTTAATGTGGTTCAGCCTAATGAATTTAGCAATGGATTGATCGCCAGCATGTAAGAAATCAGATATTCAGTCAGAAATTAGGAAAAAGGTATTGGGAAAGCAGACTAAAGGCAAGTTTACCTCTGAGGGAGGCACCAGCATTCACCAGTAATACCTACAGCAAATAAAACAGCAATCAGATTGATTTAACTGAGCCAGGATGTTTTACATTATTTAAAAAGCAGTCTAAGATATCTACCTTAGAAAACATAAAGTGGGGCCAATATTGTTCACTCAAGTTTCACTGTGTTACATTTGACAACTCTGTGTGTAATGAAAATAATTTTTATTCTTTATTTTGGTGAACACCAATTTGGCCTTTCAGTCAGAAACAAATGTTGTTTTATCTAGGATTATGTGTCTAGTGTGACCACTGCCTGTGGGGATTCCCTAAGTGAAGAATGCTTATATGACAAGGACTGAGGTTAGCCCTATGAGAAGTGGTCATATTTATGTCAGTATTCCCAATGAATAGCTGAAAAAATAAGATACTTTAAAATAAACTAATAATTTGAAACCTTACATCAATCAGTTGATTGGCTTCATGTTCCAGTACATCTAGAGTAAGAAATAATTTTGTCTTCATTGCATTATTTTTAAAAAATAGCAAATTAAAAAATTAGACCTAAGCTTCTTTTCATTTGTTTTGTAGCAAGGTCTCACATTGTAGTTGAGACTGGCCTGGAACTCAGTATGTAGCACAGGCTGGCCTCCAACTCAAGATCCACCTGCCTCAGCCTCTAAGCATGTACCGCCACACCCAGCCCAAGTTGTCTTTTAAACACCCTTTAGATACTACAATAAGAATTAAATTGGAGTTATTTTAATTATAGGAAAAACTACATTTCTAGATTGCTGTGTTTGGGGTAGTTTTCAGATTATAACCAACTGACTATTTAAAAACCCAGTTCTAGATTGAGATAAAGGATACTTCATAATAAGGAAATGTTATTTTCCTTCCAAAAATGTAATGGGTTTTTTCCATTTTGATTTATTGAGTGAAAAAAAAATTTGAGGTTAATTGATTTTCAATATTAAGCATAGTTACTCTGTTCTCTTGTTTTAGGAACCAAAGGCAAAGCCTCTAAATACCCTATCTAAAAAATGGGGCTCTTTTTTTATTGATTCAGTTTCTGAACGGGAAAATACAGAGGACTCCTTGGTTTATACATGGTCTTCTAACAAAATCAGTACTTACAGCACTATTGCAATTCCAAGTCTTGAAGCAATTGCAGGTAAGGTGGGAGGGAAATACCTATGAAACTTTACCTGTTACTGGACATTGACCTTACCTACTAGAATTTTTGTCTTTCAGAGAAAACCTTCCCATGATATTGATTTCTTTTCTTGTGAAACATCTTCTAGATGTGTAGATGTGGCAGCCTGGGTAATTAGGACCAGCCCTATGATGGATCCAAAAACCTAGATTTTTTTTTTTTAGTTCTAACTAGTACATGTTTATAGTACATAATGATTACATTCACTGTAGGGAATTGGTATATGGTATATGCACATAACATATTTCAGTTCTCTTATGACCCTACCCTCCACCCTCCTTTTATTTTTCCAGCTTGGATTCATTTATTTATAAGACTTTATAAAGTTAATTATCAAGCTAGACACCTTTCTTATTTCTGATTGCATGGATTTGGATCTTTTCTTTCCTTATTTTGATAAAACTGGTTAAGAGTTTGTCTATTTTGTTTAATCTTTCAAAGAACCAACTCTGATTCATTCTTTGTATTTTTTGTCCCAATTTCATTAATTTCCATCCATCCTGATCTTTTTAATTTCCTTCTTCCTCATATTAGCTTTGGTTTGGATTGTTCTTATTTTTCTAGGACTTTGAGGTGCATCGTTAGGTTATTTGAGCTTATTCTTTTTTTCTGACGTAGTAATTCAGTATGAACTTCCCTCTTAGTACTGCTTTCATTGTATCCCATAAGTTCTGCTGTATTGTACGGGCATAATTGTCTGATTATAGAAATTGTCTAATATCTTCAATTTCATCTGTGACCCATTGGTTATTCAAGAGGTTATTATTTAATTTCTAAGTGTTTTGCCTACTTTCTGTGGTTTCTTGTGCCATTGATTTCTAGTTTCAGTCACTATAGTCTGATAATATGCATGAGGTATTTTTGCATTTACTTAAGCATGCTTTATTGGCTAGTATGTGGTCTATTTTAGAGAAAGTCCCATGTGCTGCTGAGAAGAATGTGTATTGTTGTTGGACAGAACACTGTAGATATGTATTAAGTCCATTTGTTCAAAGATTTGGGTCAACTCTGATATTTCTTGGTTGATTTTTTTTGTCTAGTTGATCTGTCCATTTGTGACAGTGGGGTATTGAGTTCCCCCATCACTATTGTACTGGTGTTTATCTGACTTTTCACGTCCATTAGTGTTTTATTGAGTGCCAGTATTTGACATGTATATAATTGTTAACTCTTGCTGTTGAATTGTTCCTTAACCCATATGTATGACCTTGTCTCTTCTGATCAGTTTTATTTTGAAATTTACTTTTGCTGAAATTAGGATAGCAGTTCCTGTTTTTTTATGGGTTCTTGTTAAATGGAATATTGTTTTCCATTCTTTGATTTTTTAATCTGTGAATATCTTTTTGAATTAAATGTTTCTTGTATATTTGGGTTTTCTTTCTTGATCTATTCTACCAATCTGTGTCTTTCGATTAGGGAAAAGAGACCATTCCCATCGAGAGTCATTATTGAGAGGTATTGACTTATTCCTGCCATTGCATTATTTTCCTGTTGCTGATTTCCTCATTTTTCTCCTTTTGCTTAGCTGCTCATCCTGCCAGGTGTATTCATTCTTTTGACTTACACTGTTGGCTTGTCTCTTTCTAGGGTAGGCTTGTCTCTTGAGAATTTTTTGTAATGCTGGTTTGGTGGTCATGAATTTCTTGAGGTATTCCTTGACATGGAGATACTTTATTTCTCCATCAGTTTTAAAGGAAAGTTTTGCAGGATATATAATTCGAGATTGGAAGTTGTTATCTGTTAGGGCTTGGAACAATTCACTCCAAGCCCCCATGGCCTTTAAGGTTTGTTTAGAGAAGCGTGCTGTGATTCTCATGGGTTTACCTTTGTATGTTATTTGTTGCCTCTTTATAGCACCTTTTAAGATTTTGTCCTGGTGATAACACTTATAGAATTTTGAGTATAATGTGCGGTGGAGGGGTTCTCTTTTGGTCTTGGCCATATGATGTTCTATATGCCTCATTTATCTGTATGTGTTTCCTTCTCTGTATTTGGGAACTTTTCTGCCATTAACTTTTATAAACAGGTTTTTCATGCCATTTGTATTGTGTTCTGATTTTTTTACTTATTTCAGTTATAGTCCAGTCTTCTTTGTATCATCTAGCAGTTTTTAGATCCATTTTTCATTTTCTCTTATTGTTTTCAAAGTGTCTTTGAATAGTTGGTCTTTGAAAACATCATTGTCTTCTAATTCTTAAATTCTGTCCTCACATTGGTTCATCCTGCTGCCTATACTTTCAGTATTATCTTTAATCCCTGGATTTCTGGTTGAAACCTTTTCATGTACCATGTTGATAAACTGGTCATTCATATTTTATATCATTTTGTTTAGTTCATCTAGCTTTTTATTAGTGTCTTTCAAGAGCTCCTGCATCTTTTTGGTTATTACTTCTATTATCTTACTTATATCTTTTCTAATCCTTCTGAGTATCTCTTTGAGCTGTTTTGTAACCTCCTCTAATATGCTTTTGAGTAATTCCAGTGCATGGCTATATTATTTGGCCTCTTAATGCCCCCTGGATTGGCTTCAGGGGACTTAGATGTTTTGTTGCCTTTTATTCCCATGTTTGTATCATTTTTATTTGTTTTGTGCATGCTTATAGTCTAGACTTTGTTGCTAGTATAGAGATCTCTTTAGTTGCTTTTCAGTGATGTTATTTTGGACATGTCTAATTATCATTTGAATAGAGATCTCTTTAGTTGCTTTTCAGTGATGTATTTTGGGCATGTCTAATAACTATAATCATTTGATGCAGCCCCAAGATTCTATCACCTTGGTTATTTTAGGGGAGGAGGATAGATACATTGTAGTTAGGCCAGCAACTAAGTTTACTGGGAATGGAGTCTAGTATTGTTAATGTCACAAAGGCAGTGTGAGTGTTGGCTTACTGAGAAATGGTGACAATTATGTGGCCCTGTTAATATCAAGTGAAACAGCTACAATGGTATCACTGGAGACAAATTAGATATTAACATACCTTTAAAAAGTTATGTACCGCCCTTAATTTTAGAGAAAAAACCCCAGCAATTATGATATAAACATTAAAGCAATCCAGTATTGACTTACAGCTAATATGTACTAAATGCAACACATTTTCTCTGATATTAGAAAAGTATTCAACCGTCTTTGAGGCTGCTTTCCCCTCTGGGTTTCTACTCTTTCCAGAGAGCCCACCAAAGTGGGTAGTGGGCCTTTCAGGAACTCCATGAACCTACAGGGATAAGAACTGGAGAAGAGCATGTGCTGAAGGAGGGGTGAGCCTGGCAAGCTCCCTCAACCTGTGCAGAAACGCTGAGGGGTGTTACCTTAGAATAAGGATGAGCTGTGGCAGACTGAGATCACCTTTCTGATGACTGTTCCTGCGTGGGAATTATATGGTTCAACTGTTGGTTCTCTTCAGCTCTCCAGTGAATTCACTGTGATATTTATATTTTTGTTCAGCTTTTCTAGTTGTGTCAGCACCAATTTAGATGTGGAAGTCTAGTTAAATTTTTGAATTCAGATTATTCTTCCTTATATTGGGAATGGTAATATTAGGCTGCTGACCTCCTTCACAGGATGGATTTGAAAGTAAAGTAAGATATTTATCTGAATTACTGGTAGGATAATGATGATATGTATGACCACGATGCAATCCTTCGGGTCAGCCTACAAGCCCAATGTCAGACTGTCCTACTCTTTGAAATATCTTGTTCTCACTAGTTTCAAAGAATGGTTTTTTTTATTTCATGCTTGTACTCCTAAAATTAAGGAAAGAAAGCCTAAATATAATTCTTTCTTTTACAAACAATTTTCCTGTTAATGAACTTTGGAACCTTAGAGGGGCTAGCACAGAATTAAACCATTATTTTTAATAATTTTTATCACTTTGTCTTTTTCTTTCAAGATTCATATTTTTAATGAGAGAGTATGACAGTGGAAGCCACTGGATTATCATAAAGTAGCTGGGTAACACCTACTAAGAGAATATGGTTATGCATAGTAACAAAGTCAAAGGTGAATTTCTATTATTCTAATATTTAAATATTTCTCTCAAATAATTGGAAAAATGACCACGTCTCCTTAACTATAATCTCAGTGCATCTCCCTGGTTTGTATTGTTTTTAAATTCAGCAAGTATTTATTGAGTGCCTGTTATGTGCTAGGTATTGTTCCAGGTACTTGGGACACATCAGAAAACAGAGCCATGCCCTTGTGGAGCTTACGTACAGCAAGCTCCCTTTTTTGTATTCAAGAAGCTTTCTTCAGAGCAACATAAAGGAGAAATCAGCAGGATCTTTGTCTTCTGTCCAACTTTTCTCAAAAGAAAATACACTGGTACCTCAGTTCATGAACTCTTTTGTTTGTAAACAGTTTGGTTTGCAAACTTTGCATGAGGCGACAAACACAGTAACAGCCATCTTTCCTGCATGAACACAAACGTGGCTATCTTTTCCAGAATCGTGGAATGAATTAAGTTTGTGAACCAAGTTACCATTGTACCATTGTATTAAGTAGGATTTGCCAACAGTAAAACAAAACTAAACAAGTATCCATTTTTTGTGGGAAAAGAATGAGAGAGAGTTGTTCTGTCATATTGTTTTATTTTGATGTTCAAAACACTTCCTCAAAAAGCATAGTATAGTTTAAGTTAACACTATGCTATGATCACATTCTTATGAAGGTCTCTCTCACACACAGCTTCATATTAGTCATGTCAGTAACATTCAGTACAGTTGGACACTACTTTTCATTTACCTCCAGTAAGAAAGATGGCTAGAAGAAAACTACTGTGATGGTCATGGCTTTAGGTGTGTTAATGGCAGGGTCTGTATGTTATCCTGCTAATCTCTTTATTTAAGTCCCAGAAGTTGTTAATTTCTGTATTACTTTACACTGAATTTACTGTTTAAGAATATTCATTGTTTCATTTAATTGTTAACCAAATGTGGATAATATGAGTGACAATACAGTGTGTTAATACAAGTATTTAACAGAAGAATGTTGTGGTAAGCAAGAATTTGATTCTTTTCTCCCTTTCTCTTTTCTTCCAAATAGCACCCAACAATGACTATAGCAGAAATGTGAATTCTTTCTTCTTGCTGAATCCACAGCCTTAGGAATCCCCAGCCTGGGGATCCTTATTTTAACAGAACAGTTATCTGCCTGTCTGGTTATCCCATACCCAGATTTCTTTAGTTTTTGTTTGTTTGGTTTTTGGTACCAGGGATTGAACTCGGGTCCTTGCACTTGCGAGGCAGGCGGCGGAACCACTGAGCTAAATCCCCGGCCCTCCCAGATTTCTTTATAATAGACCTTTTTTTTTTTTTTAAACAAAATAAAATTATTTGTTTGAAATGAGACAAGACTGAAAAGCAAAGTTTTATGTTCCACTTTTGCCTCTTAATTAGACTTGGTTTTCTCATTCACAATTAAATACCTAGAAGCCATTTTTGTATTGTATCAATCACTTTCCCATCACTGGGACACTACCACACACACACAACTTAAAGAGTTTTATTTGATTCCTAAGAGTTCAGTAGGTTTAGTCCAGCTTTAGTCCATAGTTGGCTGCTCCAAGGCAGAAAGCATGGTGGAGAAAAGCTGTTCATCCCATAGCAGCCAGGAAGCAGAGGGCAAGGGGAACAGCCAAGGACAAGAATACACATGCACCCAGTAACACACCTATTCTGACTAAGCCCCGCCTGCTAAGAGGATATTCAACAATGGACTCATTGATGGATTGATCCACTCAGGAGTATGACACCCCCATAATCCAGTCACTTTGCAAAAGCCACACCTCTGAATACATGAGTCTTTGGGGGCAAGGGAGAGGTAAAGATCTAAACCATAACAAAGCTGTTACAAAGTTTGTACTTAACCACATATATAACAATAGTGTTTGGTTTGTAAGTATTCTTTTAAGGTAATCTTTTTAACATTATACACATTATATACATTATAGCTAGACAGACATGTAAGCATTTCCTTTAGGCAGTTATAGGAAGGGGTCGGGGGTGGTTGGCTCAACTTGTTCTGTATCATTTTGGTAGTTTATCAAATCCAGGACCTCAGATGTATGATTTTAGAAACTCATTGTTATCAGTTTACTTCCCAATGCCTTTTTCAATGCATGGCTCAAAATGTACTCTAGCCAATAGAACAGTGAGGACCAATGTCAGGCACTCATGCTGGATATTTTTCCATTCACAATAATCCTAGCTTTCTCTGGTATCAAGAAGGCAGTGTTCCCTCTCATAAAGACTAACTGCTTGAGACTTGATTTAGTGGCATCTATTATAAAATAATTTATGCCGATACCATTTTCAAAATGTTCAGTACTACTAAATGATATTTTTCTTTGTAAAATTTGTGAAATAATTGATTATTGCCCTATATCTGCATGTGGAATGAACATGACATAGGTCACTAGGCTTCACTTGGAATATTTCCAGTTGTTTCCTTGGAGAAATTAAAGGCTAAGATCTTGAAAAGCCCATTATGTAGATAACACAGTGTCCCACCATCAAAGTATGCAGTGTATGTTCTCCCGATTCTCCTCCTGGTCCTAGTTCTGCCCGTGTGCACACATGGGATGCTTATCTCATAGAAATGCCATGTTGCACATGTTCTTACTTTGCTAAATATTCAAAGATTATTCTTAGTAACCTTCTAATTTCTCCTTAGGGATATAAAGAGTATTCACTAACATTCAGTAGTTATTTGATCTCCTGAGTAGGACCTGAGAGATTTTGTTTTTAAAGTTTCTAATTCAGATGAGCATTCCTATTTTAGGTGTTAATTTTTGTGTAGAGTACTACAACTCACTAGAGCTCTGATTTAAATATTATGGTAAACTTTATAAGGAAGAACATCTACACTCATCCTTGATGCCACCTATGGGGGAAGGGCAAAAGAAATATTAAATTTATGAAATTCTAAAAAATAAAACAGAATATTAGCTTTTGATTTGCTTGTATTTATGAAATTTATTTGGGAACCTATATAATAATCCAATTGTGGTGTTTTTTTTCTCCCCAGAATTACCCCTGGACTACAAGTTTACAAGATTCTCTTCAAACAGTTCAAAAACAGCTGGCTACTATCCGTTGGTCCATTATACCAATGGTCTTATCAAATGATGAGACACTGACAATCATTCTAATGGAAACCATATATGCAACAAATGTTCTGTTAAAAATGTTATTTTCAAAAAATATTTTAAAATGCTTTGTAGGAACAAGTTTTTGTGAAAATGACCAAGTAATTGGTATTTGTCCATAAGTTTCTATTTTATATAAACTTATTTGATGTTTAACAACACTCACTATATTAAAATCTAAGTATCCTGGAAGTAAAAAGAACATTATTGTTATTTTCCATACCGAGGTACACACACACACAGTCCAGTGGTTCTCCAAGTGTTATGCTAGATTAATAGCACAGTATCACCTAGAACTTGCAAATTTGAAGGCCTTCCCAAAACCTACTGGATCAGAAACCTTGGGCATGGGTCCCAGCAATCCAGGGCTTTATGATTTTTTTCAAGCTATTACATTTCATACTAGTCCTGTCTTTTCCAAAACAAGGAGATGAACAGACATGGGACAGTATACTACAAGCCAACTATCTCAATCTCCACTGTTCCCCACTAAGTTTTTCTTCCCCTTTTAATGTTAAAGGTTGCTTATTTATTTTCAATAACTTTAAGACATGGATTCTCAAAAAATGGATTGTGGCCTTCCAAAGTTCAGCCCCACCAAAAAAAAAAAAATTCCTTAATATTTATCTCTTTAGAGAGAAATGACAAAAAAAAAAAAGGTTGAGGAAAACTGCTTTAAGAGTCTTTTGGGTGTACTACAATCCAAGATTGCCATGTTCTGTATGTCATGTATAGTTCCATTAGTAGCTATTTGTTAAAAGATGTTTGGAGCCAGATAATGTTCCTAAGCTCCTGACTACACCTTATGCTGTAACTTCACTGTCCACAGTGGACAGGACCAGAAAACAACACTGGTCATTGTCATTATTTTACTTATTGTAGCAAAGGATTGAGCATATGAAACATACAATGAAAAGATAACTTCTGTTATGATTTATAAATGTTCAGATAAATTCCAAATATACTGTAGACAAGTATCTCAGGTAAGTACTAGGTTTTTTGACTTTTTTTCCTCGAAGTCAATAGCTTTGTCTGTTATCTACCAATGACTATATATGATGATGTATTTGAAAATGATATCCAGGGCTGGGGATTTAGCTCTGGTTCTGCCGCCTGCCTTGCAAGCACTAGGTCCCGGGTTCAATCTCCGGTACCCCCCAAAAAAAAGAAAATGTTATCCAAAATGTCACTGGAATATTATAATAAGCATACACAATCAAGTTTAGGGCTCAATGAAAGATCTCATGTATAAATAGAAATTTGATTTCTTTTAAAAATAAAGTTATTCTTCCTCATTCATGTTTATTCGATAAATGACAAAACCAAAAAATCTTTAAATGCTTTAAACTGCTGTTAAGAAAAATGACAACCACAAAATAAAAAATTGTATGTTTTGGCCACTGAGGAGTAGAAATTCTCTCATGTCAAAAGTTCTAGTCCTACTGTTTCTGTTACCTACCTGAAGATTCTAAAGTTACCACCTAATTTGAATCCACCTTTTCCATCTTGTAAAAAGAAGATAGTGTGTTTCCTTCCACCTTTCTAGCATATCAGTGCTGACTCAAATGAATTTCCTTTGTTAGACTGAGACTTGTGAAATGTTCATTTCATTATTTATAAAAAGTGGCAGTGTTTCCAGTTGTATATGAAGAGCAAAAATAACCAAAATGTGGCACCATAAAAATTAGAATACTAAAGAAGAAAGGCAGCTTATTCTTTAATAGTTGTTTGAAGTTAAGAAAGCAGGAAAATTGTTCCAACACAACCAGTACAGTTTTGGCAGTAAAGAAAACACCTGTATTTTTTACCACTTAAAACAGTTTTGTGGAAAAGTATTTTCTAAACATCATCTTTGTTTACTACTTTTCTTTTTTTCGTTGGAGACAGGGTCTTGCTTTGCAGTTCAGGCTGGCCCTGAACTCACAATGTAGTCCAGGCTGGCCTAGAACTCATGGTGATCCTCTTGCCTCAGCTTCCCCAGTGCTGGAATTACAGGCATGCACCACAGTGGATGGCTTGTATACTACATTTATGTTAACTAAACTCCTCTAGGTCTCATTCTTTTAAGGAGCCTGAGATAGATTTTTGGAGGAATAAATCACTAGATTCTGTGAGTGCTACTTAAATTGTTTTCCTAAAGCTGTGTGGTGCTTTAGAAAGAGTACCTGAAGGGCCGGGGATTTAGCTCAGTGGTTCTGCTGCCTACCTCTCAAGCCAAGGACCCGAGTTCAATCCCCGGTACCAAAAAAACAAACAAAAGAGTACCTGAAATATTAAGACTGAAATTTATCTAGAAAAACATGGTAACAAATAAATCTGTTATAAAAGATTTGTTAATGGTTTGTTAATAAACCATAAATCTTTGAAAGGTAAATAATCTACTAATTATCATTAACTCAGGCCATTAGACATCTTGTTTCATTTACCGACCATTCAGTTCACTCCAAAAGTCCTGCTCTACTCTGTCTGTAATGCCTTGTTCTTCTTCCTCTGTTGTGGACCTTACTCTTTATGCAGACCTCCAAACCAGTTAGGAGATGCTGTCATCCTCTGGGCATGAAAGAAGTATTACCACTTTGGTCTTCTAAGGCCCTTGAGAAGTAGTGTCAAGCTTCATAATTTCCCTGTGACTATTTGATAATTTTAATGATTTTCCAATCTTTTATAAATCTGGACAACACAACTTTTTATTCATTATTCTTTTTTGGTAAAAATAGCAGTGACATTTTACTGTCCAGCACATAAGAGAAGATAGAAGAACTAATGATTTCTTTTAGTTGGACAGCAATTCTGCTAGTATTTATGCTGGTTAAGAACATAAATGTCAAGTACATTATTACTAAGGCAAAGGATCTCAAGACAGAATAGTTTTTGAATTATTTTCACAAGACATAGAAACAATTTACAAAATCTTCACTCTTCAAAGATCACATTCAAATGGTACTGCTAAGAATAAAGCTGTATGAAGAGACCAGAACAAACTATTCATGAATATTCACAGAAGTCTTCATACTGCACAGGACACTAATTTGATATTTTTGCACATGTTTTCCATGACAAGCAAAAAACAGCCCTGAAAACAATTTTGCCAGTAGGCTGTAATGGAGAAAGGAAGTAATAGGATTTTACTCAGTGAAGTGAGTATATACCATTAATCTTGAACATATACAAAGGTCACTCAGAATAAGAGAAAACATCCAGGCTTGAACATTTGTTTACAAAAATCTATTGGTGAATTCAAGGAATTAGGGAAAAATTGGAAGAAAATTCTCCAGGCATCCCATTTAAACCTTTACCCTTTGATTTTCCAGCCGGCTGTACCTGTGAGGTGCCTCAGAGGCCTCCCTCCCATCACTGATCCTGCAGGGTTTTAGTGTGTTCTGGGATCCTTGCAAAGCCTGAGCTCATTTCAGCTTCTGGGGCTACTTAGCTAGAGCACCCCCTCCATTGGTTGCGTCCAGACTTCCTTAAGCCTTCAGGGAGTTTATTAAGGCAAAGCCTTCAAAAAAGGGGAAATCACGAGCAGCTCATGTTTATCACCATGATTGTACATCCTCCCATCCAAGGCAGCCCTGACAGCACTGCTATTCCACCTACTGGAACTCTTCCTGGAAATGCAGACTCCACATACCCCCTTATGCCCCAGGAAAGCTTGGATCTCCTACACTGACTGCAGCCCGGACCCTTACATGTTAGGATAAAAGTAGGGAAACAAATTCAGAAGATGAGAAATGAGGGCCAAGAAGGCCAGATAGTATAAAGGAGCCTTTTGGGATTACAGGGCGGTAATTTATAATAGAGAACAGGGATGGCTGAGAAATTGCTGTAGGATTTTCTCTATAGAGTCCAAAGCCCCCAAAAGAATTCCCCTCTTAGGTGAAGTTATAGTTGCTTCGGCACATTCTGCTCAGGGTCTGGAACCCATCGCTGAGGTCCTCTCCCTCTCAACTTCTCAAACTAAAGCTCAAGAAACAGGATTTGATGGAATGGATAGGAAAGGGTGGTGTTATCCTTAAAAAAATTAATATTAAACAATTAACCTACAGGTCTCCCTTTGATACTTTTAAGACCTTGCTAAAAGAAATGGAGGACAGGAATGGGGGCGTTAAGAGATTTGCAATCTATTTTACATTCTGGACACAACCAAGGGGAGAGCAAGTAAACTAAAACCCTGCTTTGTCAGCTATGTTTTCTGACTCTGAGCTGTAAATGTCACAAAGAAAGGGAGAGGGAAAAGAGTGAGAAAGATGTAACAAGCCTCATCCATGTTCCAGAGGAACCTCAGTGGCCCCACTGGCAACAGCTCCATTCAGCATGGGCATGGAAGGGGTTAAGAGGTTTGTCCAAAGCTGCCTGTATTAAGGATAGTTTGTAGGCCAGAGCTCAAAAAGGCTAACTGCTGGAAGGAACCCATTCCTGTCTTGATTTGGGCACTGCCACTTGGGTTGATGGGTAATCATGAGGTGGAGGAAGACAATGGTGACCTATGCAATGCTCAACCAGGAAAGAAATAGGTGTGCATTAGAGCACAAGCCTTCATACTCACCAGAAGTTGATCATGATGTACAGTAACCAAAGGGGAAAAACAATGTAATATCATAAAACACTTCATCTATTACCTCACTCGTGTAGTAGTCACCAAACACCTGGTTATCCTACCAGATGACCAGCAGGGAGGACAGCAAAGGCCTAGAGGGCAGCTGGGATACAGATCCTGGTAGCCAGAATGCTCGGTTTGGGTTGATGGCACCTGGGTGGGATATCAGTTTCACCTTGCAGTGGTGAAACTCAAAAGAGTATGTTACAATATATGGCTATCAGGAGCACAACCAGCTTAAAGTATGAAGCCTGCCTAGTTATTTGCAAAGATGTACCAAACTTCCTTGTGGTAGACAACCACTTACAACACTGGGAGAAGACCATGGTCACAGACAGTACCCAAGCCATGCAAAGGAAGGCAGTAGTATCTACAGCATCGTGACCTTGGCACAGAAAAAAACAGGCCACGCATGTGGAACATGTTAAAATGCAGAACAACAGGAAGTCCCAGAGGCAGGTAAGCGACAAATGCCACTGCTAAAGATTTAGAAGAACCAATGGCCAAAATATCCAGGACAAAGAGAAAGGCTGCATCATGCTGGCCAAGCATGGGAGCTGGTAAGAAAATTTGTGCGGGAGCTTCTCAAAGGGACAGAAGTTAGCCAGACTGGAATCTGAAAGATCTGGGGCTCTCCACAGGCTGCCTTGGTGCACCTCGAATTCCTCTGCGGGGCCCTTCACCCATCAGGTAGTATTGCAAGGGATTGGACCACAGTTCCCCTTTGATAATCTCAGCGATTCTGTCGAATTCTAAGAGGCTGTGGTCTGAGAACCAGTTGAAGAAACTGGGGACAGTGTTCCCTTCCCGATTCCGATGGATATGGGCCTGGGGGTCTTGGCCCCGGTGCCAGCGGATTGGCGTGGAAAGAGACACCACACGGCCAGAGGACCTGCGCTCATATTCCTTGACCAGGCCCTCGTTGCGGAAGTAGGGGTTGCTGTGAAAGATGAACTTGAATTTGCAGCCTGCTCTAGGGTGTTTAAGCTCCTCCACCTCCAAATTGATCATGTACCTCATCATATCTTCATCTTGGCCACTGATCATAGGAGACAGATGGGGGTGGTTCCGAAAAGCTGTGACCCAGAACCCTGGGATATTCTGGATGATGAAGCTCCTGCGCTGCATATGGAGTCTCCGCATCCGGCCAAATTTGCGCTCCAGCTGCAGAAAGGCCCTGTCAGCCTGGGCGTTTACATTCGACAACTCCTGATCGATGGCCTCCAGTGAGTCCATGCAGGTATTGATCTTTGGGGTCCTGGGCCTTGTCTCCTCTTTTCCTTCTCCAATCATCTTTTTTTCTTTCTGTACCACCTTTTCCTCCATCACCGGCTCTGTGTTTCCCTCCTTTTCCGAAGATGCTGGGATGGCGCACTTCTTAGTCGTCATTTCCTTGGCCTTCGCTCCAGGCATCATCTGAGACCCCGAAGTCCCTGGGCCAGCGGCTTCTGGAGCCTTCTTTCCTGAGGGGATGCGCGGCCCTAGAAGCTGACAGCCATTTTTCTGGCCGTTGTCAGCCGCCACAGAGTCCGAGGTTGCTTCCGGACCCTCAAAAGGAGGCAAGGCACCTTCTGGTTTAGCCCTGGTCGCCGCCAGGCCGCGACTCCCAGGCCCCGGGACGCAGAGCATGGGCCCGGGGTCCGCCGCACCCCCGGACGCGCCCCCCTCCACGGCGGCCTGCGTGCGGCCCTCACCTCCGTGCACCATTGCCCGGGCGGCCTCCCCCTCTGCACTGAGCCCCCGGCTCTGGCTCAGGTCCAGATCTTCTGGGGAGTGCTCAGGAGTAGCGCTTTCGGCGGGAGGAAGTTTGTTGCCCCCATCCAGGCCACTCATCTTGGCGACAGTCAGACTTGCAGAACAGCCCTCCTCTCGTTCTGCTGAAGCCGCGCGGGGCCGCAAAGTGCCCCTAGAACCACCCCTTTTCCTCTAGGTTACCGTGGCAACCGATGACGTCAGGGACAGTCTCGTGAGAACTCGCTGCTAGGATGATTCTGCTTGCCAATCAAGCGTATTCCTTTGTGTCCTAACAAAATGTTATCACTTTAATCAATGTGGAAAAAAATTGACTTATAAATGAATGTAGACCAAACTCAAGCATACAAGAGCTGTGTTAATGTGGATTTCTCAGCCTCTGAACTTCTAAGGTACCTAAGCTATTCTCTCCTAAAATATTTACCTAAAAAAAGGTTAGATACTGTCTGTTCAAGTCAGACCATAGGGCTTCTCATGAATTGAAAAATGGATTACCAACTCCCAATCCTTCCTTCTTTAAAAATACAAATTCGTAGCTATTACTAAACAATTGAGATAAACAGAATTTGATTTTTATAGAGAAGTGAAGTGTTGCTATGCTGTCATGATTTTTAAAAATAGGAACACCTGAAAGAAAAACTTCTCTCATCCTGAAGACATAATAAATATGTATTATTTCAACTTCCTTACAGATTTTAAAGTTTTCATACTTTAGCCAACGTCTGTGAATCAAGTGAGCGATGTTTCCTCTTCACTTTTAATATGAGTGACAAAATGTTTTTCCTTACTTAGAGGTGGCTACACACAACACATGCACAAAATTGACCTTTAGGCATTACTGGAAGAAATATAATCTCAGAGGATTTAATTTCCAAAATGATACCTATTACATGTTGTTTTTCCTCAAGTTACAATCTTAGAGTAGTAGTTTCTGCTTCATAATGACTGTGGCCAGGGAAGCCAGCAAGGACAGAAGGAATTATCAGCTATTTGCATGCATCTACCCTTCTTTCTCTTTTAAATATTACTTAAAAAATTAAGAAACTTTAGCTAGCTATTCAAGTCAGTTCAGAGAATTCATTTGAAAAGATAATACTACTATTAGTTTTTGGAAGTATGGGAATGCTGGTATTAATCTTTAAGAAAAAGGCAAAAGCAAAGTGAAACTTAAATTTTGCATATTTTGTGTTTAACATCTTAAATTCCTATTAAAGCAAACTATTTCTCTTTGCAATAGAAAGTCCATCATGAACAACCCAGAGCATGATCTCAGTCAAACAAAGGCTCAGAAATGAGGATTTACCAAAAAAATCAGCATGTATTCTAAGACTTCTAGTGAGGGAGATAGTGTAGACCTGCTTCAAGTAAGAATAAAGGTGGAAAATTGAGGGCAGACAATAGAGTGTAGCTGTTTAGCCACATTCTTTTTTATGGGAACGAAGAGGATAGCTCCAGTTACCCTACTCAAGGACATGGTGTCCAGACTGATCTCTTTATTGACTTCCAGCTAATTAGTTAATCCTATAAACATGTGCTAACAAGATTTACTCAACAGGTAGCAATTACTCTTCTCTCTACTTTCCTCTGAGTCCTCTTTATGCCTTACTGGGATGAAATTAATCTACTGATTGATCTTTGTAAAACAAGTTAACTGTGTGCTATAATTGACTTTGCAACTGAGTTATTCTATCACATTACTGATTTCTTTTTCTAAAGAATCTTTGCACTGAAGAACTCTCCTGGATTAAACCTGAGCCAAAATGCAGACAAGCAACAAACTGCTGAAATTTACTTTGTAATGCAGAAGGGAAATTTTTTTTGCTATTATAAAATTATATAGAAAATTTTAAAGTACATGTGCACTTTTTTTAGTGTATCAAATTTTGTTCTACTGGAAACAGATCTGTCTCCAGCTTTCATTATTCCTGTCAGCTGAATCACTCCACTTCGAACAGCTGCCCCTTTTTAAACACTCAGTGCATGCAGTAAGGCATTTAAAATGCTTTATATTTCATTAGCAGGGACTCAGGAAGCACTGAGAAGTTAAACTGACCATGGTGGTACATAAGTTGCCTCCTCCCATCTCCTGTGTATTACCTTCTTTAACTATCTTACCATTCTGATGGGCCTCAAGCTTTCCGTAGTTCTTATGACCTTTGCCATCCAATTTCGTATTCGTCTATCCCCTACTTTTTAACTTTCTTGAAGGTGAGCGTTATCCTATCTACACTGACTGTATAGTAGCAGCTTCTCTGGCATCTATGAGTATCTCATAGAATGTTTTAATGAAACCTGATGATTTAGTTTAAATTTGAATGAAAACATTAAAAGGTTTTACCAAAGTAAATAATGTGACTGCTGGCATTTGAGTTGGGTAGATACAGACTGTCATTATGAATCATATCTTACAATGTGGGCAAGTTAGAATATTGTACACTTGTATACAGTTGAGCCTGTTCTGCTGGCATTTTGCAGTAAAACTCACTTCATAGAAAAAGTTACATCAGTAATGATTCTATGTACATCAGTTATGATTCTATGAAAAAAAACCATAGAAAATGCCATGAAAACCTATGAGGTAATTTTTATTTTCCAGGAGATAAGTTTAACACAAGTCCAAATGTAAACTCATATAGTCAAATACTAATGACAGTAAATGCTGGAAAATATATGAAATATATCCTGTTAATCTTTTGAAGTTTATTTTCCAGAGTTCTACTTTCATTCATATAGATATATATTTATTATATTACATTTATTTAGTGCTTTCTGTATACCAGACATTTGCAAACTTAAATGTGTCTTGCCTCATTTCATTCTCACAAGGATGCTGTGAGATGATATTATGACCTCCACTTTACTTTGCCTCAGAAGGAACTGAATCAAATAGAAATTAAGATCACACAGCAAATGGTGGAGCCACAATCTGAACCCAGCTTAACTGATTCAGGGGCCTGTACACTCATTAATTATATTGTTCTGCAAATCTGTACAACATATAAATTGAGAAGGCACTTCCTTAAAAATAAGATCAGCCAGGGCTGGGGATTTAGCTCAGTGGTGCTGCCGACTGCCTCGAAAGCATAAGGTCCCGAGTTTGGTCCTGAGTTTTATCCCCGGTACAAAAAATAAATAATTAAATAAGATCAGCCACACACTTGCAATTCCAGGAGGATCAAGGTGAGTTCAAGGCCAATCTGGGCAACATAGTGAGTTCAAGGCCAGCCTGAACTACATAGCAAGACCCTGTCTCAAAAAAAAAAAAAAAATGGCCATTCCAGTTGTTTGTTCAGGGTGCTCTAGCAAAACACCATAGACTGGGATGCTTATGAACAATAGACATTTATTTCACACACTTTGGGAAGCTGGGAAATCTAAGATCAAAATGCCAATGGATTCAGAATCCACTAAGGGCTTCCTTCACAAAGGCCAAGGAAGGGTTGAGAGATCTCTCTGAGGCCCCAGTCTCCTGCAGGCCCTAATCTGGGCCCTGTTTTACAAGGACACTAATGGCCTCTCAGAGGCCCCACCTCCAAGCAGCCCCGCTCTGGAGACTCAGTTCCAACACAGCAATCTGAGTGGGAACATAGGGCTGAGGATTTAGCTCAGTGGTTCCGCTGCCTGCCTTGTCGTAAGCGAAAGGACCTGAGTTCGATCCCCCAGTACCCGCCCCCCCCCCAAAAGACACTGAGCAGGAACACAGACACTGTCTCTACCATCCTCCCTCCACCACCATGCCCCAAATCAGTCACAACTGTTTGGGAAGTGTCGCAATTACTAATGAGAGAGAAAAAAAATAATTTATGACCCTCTGTTTCAATGCCTTACTAGTTTGCAATCCATCAAATTTAACATCTTTTTTATAGCAAATATTTTATAACTCCCTTTTTCTTGAAATTCCAATTGTAGACCACTTTTTATCATTTAAAAAAAAAGGTCTGGGGATTTAGCTCAGTGGTTCCGCTGCCTGCCTCGAAAGCATAAGGATCTGAGTTCGATCCCCAGTACCAAAAAAAAAAAACCAATAACCAGTATATGAAGTTACTGATGCAACCCAATACAAATGTGTTATACTAGAGACATAAGCAGCAATGTTTTGGGTACTGAAATATTCTGAAATAGCAGTTTTATGACAGTTTTGGGAGAAAAGTATAAAATTTCAATTCTAGAGTAGATATTTCTTCAATTCTAAGACACGCTTTTTATTTATATTTTAGCATCTCTCAAATGATTATCCCATGATATATTCAATAGCATCTTACAACTGCAATTAGCAGAAGACCAGTCATGGTATACTTGTTATTGTCTGAGCATATGGAAGCTTGGTTAGTCTTACTGGCAGGACCACACAGCTGCAACCTCTTGATATTTTAATCTGCAAAATCTCTAAAAGACATTTGAGGTAGAAATATTAGGCCTATTTGTTTTCTGAAAACCTTCTGTTGCTATCTTCTGATAAGATCAAGACAGCAAATATCAAAACTTGCAGAATGATTATTAGTGCCTTAGGAAAAATATCTCATACACGCTTTTTTAGGTGTTTGTTTGTTTGTTTTCATTTTCTGGCGCTGGGAATTGAATCTAGGGCCTTTACCCTGAGCAACATCCCTAGTCCTTTTCATCTTTTGAGAGAAGGTCTTGCTAAATCACCAAGTTTCCCAAGCTAGACTAGAACTTTCAGTCCTCCTGCTTTAGACTCCCAGAGTGCTGTGATTATAGGCATGTCTTACCATACCTGGCTACGGGTGCACTTTTATAAGCGGCAGGTTATTCTGCTTAAAACTGCTGTCATCAAAATCATTCAAAATGCAGAGAACAATACTATTTAAGTAAACATGAACACCAAACATTTTAGTTTAAAAATTAACTTTATTATTCTAGATGAGAAAATGATTAGATTAATAAAATTATACTCATAATTTACTTTTTAGATATACTCCAAATGATATATGATAAAATTATTTTTCAAAGTCTGAAAGTTTTTTAACTTACAATTATTTTTACACTGTTAAGCAATGGTATATTAGTTTTAGAGTAGATGAAATAAGAAATTACTTTTTTGGGAGGGTACAGAAATCGAACTCACGACCTTGTGCTTGCAAGGCAGGCACGATGCCACTGAGCTAAATCCCTGGCCCAAAAAATTACTTTTAAAATGCAGCACGTATTATAAAAGTATAAATTTTTATAAAATAATGCCAGGTTCTAGGCTTAAGTAAAAATAGTTTGTTTTTTTTTATCTACAGAATTGTTTAGCATTAGATTCTCTTTTTTTTTCCCCCCAGTATCAGCCTTCGCTGAGCAACATCCCCAGCCCTTTATTTTTTTGGTTTTGTTTGGTTTTGTTTTTTGTACTAGGGATCGAACTCGGGTCCTTGTGCTTGTGCAGCAGAGCCCTTTATTTTTTATGTTGAGATAATTTCACTGAGTTGCCCAGGCTGGGCTAAAATTTGCAATCCTTTATGTTATATACGGAAATACCCTGATGTGGAACATCCCTAATGCTTCTAATAAATGTCTCCTCATTCACTATAACAACCAAAAGTACTATGGCAACTAAAAGGTGGTACACATAAAGAATCTGTTTTTTAAATGCTGATAGATATGATATTCCCATTGCTAGTCACTAGAGGAAGGGAAGTGAGCTATATAATTTGGTTGGGTGTGGCAGTGCCTGCCTGTAATCTCAACACTCAGGAGGCTGAGGCAGGAAGATCCCTGTAAATTCAAGGCCAGACTGGAGTACATAGTAAGACTCTGTCTCAAAAAAAAAATTGATTCTAGTTTGTGTGCTTTGGTGTTAAAGTCTAAGCTGTTTTAAAGAAAATATTTATGGTGATTATATACATTCACTGGAAAGAGCTGTGGCATGGCTTTTCCATGTAAAGTTGGTGCTCTATTATTAAATTTAACTCATAATCTGCATTCTATGAGTCTGTTACAAAATTGAAATTTTCTCACAGAAATGTTTAGTTCTAATGGCTCCTTCCATTAATACTTTACCCAAAAAAAGGAAAAAAAATCTCATATGGCCCTGCTTTCCCCAATCATAAAGGAAACCAGAGACAAGGTTTCTGCCCTGAATGATCTCAGACATCTATAGGGTGGTTAAAGACTACACTTTGGAATTAGATCTGGCTTCAAGTCTGTTGTTACTTACCAGCTAGTTGGTTTGGTATGTCACCTCTCAGAGCCATAATGTCATTATAAAATGAATATAATAAATCATAACTTATGGGACTACCAGGAAGTATCTGTGAAGTCCATCACAATGTAATAAACAGAAGCTAACTTGTTCATTTTTACAATTTTTATGCTGAGATTTACGTACATTAAGTAGACTATTTTGCAGGTTGTATAAAATCAATGTCAAATTCTATTATGAAACTCCAAGTGTATCATTTAGAAACAATATACACAGAAGGAAGCTCCCCAACTGCCATTCCACCCTCCTAGGGCAGAGAAGCTGAGCCAGTCCCAGCACCCA